GCCGCGTCGCCCCCACGGCGGAACTCGACCGCCATATGCGGAGGAACAGGCTCAAGAACCTTGGCGGCGCACCCGTGGACATCATCGACGGCATGGCTAAACAAGCAGAGCAGGATAAGTACGCAGCGGTGAAGCACGACTACAGGGAGATCACGAGGCTCTCCTGCCAGTGGCTGGCGGACACAGAGGCGAAGCCAGGGGTGCTCCACCCGATCACCAGGCCGCCCGTCAGGCGGGAGGAGGAGATCGCGACGGCAACCAACATCACGGACTGCCCACAGGAGATTCTAGACATGAAGGCGGAGGCGCCCAGCAAGATATGGAGCTGCAGCGAGCTCCCCCACGAGCAGCACACCGCCATCCTGCAGAACCTGCGCATGCAGGCGCTCAGCACGGGCTACAGCACCTGGACCGTGGAGGACCTCGACGCGGCGCTCGAGGGCGAGCCCGACCGAGGACAGGGAATCGACACGCTGATTTGCTCGGACAGCAGGAGGCTGCCACTCGAGGGCAGGCAGGCGATCGTAGACTTGTTCAACGCGTGCGACCAATAACTGATGTGGCCGCGGCAGCTCCTGCGCTCGCTGGTTATGGTGATGCCCAAATCAGGCAAGGGCGACAGAGCTCTAGCATTGCTCCCTTAGCTACCGCACGTGGGGACTACACAACCGCCCAGCCGCCCGCAAGTGGGCCAAGGGCCACGAGCGGAACTGGGGCGCCGCCGTCGCCGGCAACAACTGCCTGAGGGAGGCCATGCGCAGGATCATCACCGACGAGTGCTGCGACAAGATGCAGATCTTCCGGGGCTGCGCGCTCGCTGACGTCGAGAAGATCTACGACAGCCTGAGGATAGACATCGCCATCCCCGAAGCCCTCGCCATGGGCTTCAACCCGCGAATCCTGACGCTACCGATGCTGCAGAACTCCAGCACTAGGCACATGAGATGCAAGGGCAGCTACTCGCACGACCTGCTGGCAGACCGCTCCATCCTAGCGGGCTGCAGACACCCCAACAGCATCGCCAAGACAGTCGTCTACGCAGAGGCCCCATGGCAGCGCAGAGATACGGGACCATCATCAACGGCCTCAGCCCCACGGCGATGCGAGCAGCGCGTAGGCGCTACGCCGAGGCGCTCAGGAGAAGCCGGCCTGGGCGCTGCCTCACCACCGCCCTGGCGCTGGAAGGGGCCGGCCGCAAGGAGGCCATCACCAAGGGACAGCTCATGGCCTGGTTCGACTGGTGGAACAGCTGCCCAGACATCAGGACGCAGGCGCGCAAGGCTTGGCCCAAGGTCTATTTCAGACTCTTCAACACCATGGAGTCGAAGCGCTGGCAGCAAAGGCGCGGGGTCATGGGCAGCATCATCCTGTTGCTCTGGTCCGCAGGCTGGGACTCGATGGGGGCCCAACATCTGGATCGATAAGCAAGGGGGCATGCGGTGGTACCCCGAAGGCCAAGAGGACGGAGAGCCAGACGACATCATCGAGGCGCTGCTACGAGACGTCCGATAACAGCAATGGCAAGGAGCGGCAGCTCATTACAACGGCAAAGGCGCCGAAAGGGGCATCGACTGCAAGGACATCATACACCACCTAGAGACCTACAAGACAAGAGACCAGCACCAGCAGCACGGCGCGCTGGTCACAGCAGCCTGCGCAGGCACGTGGACTCGAGCACAGCGACCGGCCACCTTCGGCGACAACGACAACAAGTGTGAGTGCGGCGCTGTCGACACCGACCTCCGCCGCAACTGGGGGGGCGGCGCCGCCCGCAAGCCCAACGATATCCACGAGAAGACACAGGGGCTCGCCGAGCGAGCACTCCGCGAGGCGGAGGAAACCCGATCTTCTGGCTTTGGGGACATACGCCGCCTGTGTGGACCATCCCCCCACCGTGCGACACCACCGAGGAAGAGGCGGAGACGCTGGGGAGACGCTGGGCGCGGCCCGAGAGGGCCTGGTCCGCCCAGCACCAGGAGAAAGGCTAGAAGCATGTGGAGACGGATCAGGGGGCGAGTACAGCAGCGACGACAGATACCGCAGATGTGGTTGGAGTTGGGTGATAGTGAACAGAGACACCACCAACGTAAACAACGTCGACATAGCCGCTGGACAGTTTGGAGCACTTCCAGGAGGCCGTCCAACCGACAACCGAGCCGAGCTGTGCGCGCCGGTCAGATGCCTCTCAGCCACGCGAGGCGCCATCACCTACTGGACGGACAGCGAGATCACATGCATCGACTGGCAGATGCGAAGGGGCCGGCAGGAGTTGCAGACGGGCGCCAACAGCGACCTCTGGCGGAAGCTTAACTGCACGATCCAGGAACGAGGAGACCGAAGCGACATCACAATCACGCACATGAGCAGCCACATGACAGAGGAGGAAGCGGCCACCAAGAACGCCCCCAAGGCCGCATGGGAAGGTAACAAGCACGCCGACCGCCTGGCTGAACACGGAGCGCTTCGCCACGCCATTCCGCGCAACGTGATGAGCTGCTACGAATGGGCACGGGCAACGGCGACCTTGGCGCGGCAGAGGATTACCATCGCCACCATGGACTACATCGAACGGAGGCCAGGAGAAGGAGGCGAAGTTCGTGCAGCACGACGACAGGTAGCGCAGGAATCCAGACGGCAGGTTCGTCGTAAGCGGCACTACTTTGACGACAGTGAGAAGACCAGACCGATGACTACCCACTCGCTTCAGCGTCCGAGGCGCGGCACTGGGTGGACGTGCAGCTGCTGCAACCAGTCGGTATCCAAGCACACTGACCTAGACGTGTTCGCAAACCGGCGCCCTGGGCCGCCGCCAGAACACGGGCGCAATATCATGTACCACGGCGCGGCGGCGCATCCCCACACACTTGTCGCGGTGTACCGCAAGCCAGAAGAGATGGCACTGCCGACTCTGCGCCAGCTCGGTCACGGAGTTCATCAGCACGAAGTTGCAGGTGCCATGCACAGGACAACCCAGCTGTAACTCCATGGGCTACACACACTCAAGCACTGGGATCAGCATGCCGACACAGAGAACTGGCAAGCTCGGGACATGAACGCGGGCCTGGCGAAGTACGAGGACACCCCACAGGTCGGAAGTGCCCCGCCCTCGCCCTCAGGGGCGGCGGAGGCACAGGCGGCCCCCCGCACCGAGGGGGCGGAGAAGCTCGAGGCGGCAAGCGGGAACCCAGAGCAGCAGGGCGAGAACAGGGTTGCGAACCTGGCATACCGCCCCATCCAGTCCGCGACAAAGCCGTCCGACGACCACCTGTAGAGCCCAGAGCCCGCGCCGCTCAAGGACCAGCAGAACATGCACAAGGTAAAGTACACGAACACGAACGGCGACCTGCCGAACATAGACAAGGCAAAGTACACGAACGTCCACGAGGGCAACCAGCAGAACATAGACGAGGTGAAGTACACGGAGGCCTCGGGCGGTGGGAGTCGGACCGTGCCTAACCCACCGCCCGAGGAAAATAACCGACGTGACCACCGCCACTACGAGAAGCGCTACTCGCTGATGGAGCCGGTCGAGCTGGCGTGCAAGCCGCCGCGAGAGCATCGCGGAGCTGGGGGCGGAGGCGCAGCGCTGGCAGCCGCGGAGGGCCCGCCCGCGACCCCGAGCTGGCCGCGCAGGCCTGAGCCGATGGGGCCGCGAGGCGGCGCAGGCAGGGCCTCCGCCGCGGGAGAGGAGACAGGTGGTCCTCCGCACCGAGTGAGCGGAGCAGCACGAGGCGGCAAGCGGAAACCCACCGCACCAGGACGCGAACAGCATCGCGGACCTGGCATACCATCTCATCCAGACCGCGACCAGGCCGCTCGACGACCACCTGCAGATCCCAGCGCCCGCGCCGCTCGAGGACCAGCAGAACATAGACAAGGCAAAGTACACGAACCCGAACGGTGACCAGCAGAACAACGAACACGGCAAGGTACACGAACGTCGTCGAGGGCAACCAGCAGAACATAGACAAGGAAAAATACACGGAGACCCCCGGCGGTGGGGGACGGACTGCACCTAACCCACGAAAACAAACGACGCGACCACCTCCGCTACGAGAAGCGCCACTCGCTGATGGAGCTGGTCGAGCTGGCGCGCAAGCCGCTGGCTGCCGCGGAGGGCCCGCCCGCGACCAAGAGCTGGCCGCGCAGGCCTGGGCCGAGGGCCCGCGCGACGGCGCAGGCGGGGCCTCCGCCGCGGGAGAAGAGACAGGCGCCTTCGGCGCTCAGGGAAGAGCTGCGGAAGAGCTCCTCCTTCTCCTCCGCCTCATCCTCCTCCCCCTCCTCCCCCGCAGTGGGGCCCATGCCAAAAAGCACCCTGCTTGCCTCCAGGGTGCCCTGGGTTGCTTCGGTGTCAATGGTTTTGTGATGGACAGCGCGACGTTCCCACACCCAAGAACCAAGGGGCGTCCTGTTGTCTCAGGGTTGGGTTTCTTGTGGTCGGGCCCCCACCGTGCCCCCCGTCGCCCCTGCGCCCCCCCCCCCCCCCGCTCCAGAGCTGGGCAAAAGGGCCAGGCGCTTGGCAACAGCAAGTTCAGCCTTCCAGAAGGAGGTGGCGGATCTGCGCGCGCAGCGCATTGTCTGATCTAGCATCATCTTGCCCTCGTCCCTCCTCCCCCTCGTTGTCCTCCTCCACTTCCCTCGATCCTCCTTTTATCCTCCTCTCCCATTCCCGTTCCCTTCTCCTCCCTCCCTCTCCGCGCTGTCTTCGTCGTCCTCCCTTTGGTTATGCCCCTGCTCACGTTCACCCCGATATTCATGCTCATGTTCATGCTGCTCCTCCTCCACCTCCACATCCCGTTCCTTTTCTTTATGTATCTTCGTCGTCGTCGTTACCATCCTCCTCGTGCTCCGCTTCCTTCTCATCCTGCGCCTCCTCTTCCATCATGCATGATTCCTGTGCGGCGCTGTTCGATTGTCCCCCCGCCCGCTCCCTCGTCTCGACCCCGCCTCCTCTTCTGCTCCCCGTTCCCTCCCATCTCTTTCCCCCCTTCGGCTGGCAGGGCGGCCTGCACGACCATATTCCCATCGTGCCACCGGACGAAGGCCAACGCGTGACAGTGGGCAAGCGTTTGCGCGTCCTTTCGGAGGCCTTGCGCAGCGAGGGGCCTTGGGGAGGGGGGCCGAATGGCCAGGGCTGCTCTGACGAGGGGGGCGCGATGGGGGCGAGGTGGAAACCAAGGGGAGGGCGAAGGAGCGAGGGGGTTGGCGAGGATGGATGGCGACGGCGGGGCGAGTGGGGAGGGCCAGGGGAGCAAGGAGAAGGGGGGGGGGTGACGGGCGCGCGGAGGAGAGGGCGAGCGGAGGTCAAGGGCGGGGGGGGGGGCGCACGGAGTGGCGGGGGGGTGGGGAGGGGTGGGACGGGAGGGAGGGAGGGGAGGAGGGAGGGGAATAGAGAGGGGGAGGAGGGAGGGAGGGAGGGGAGGAGAGAGGGGAGGATGGTGGGACAGGAAGGAGAGAGGAGGGGAGGAGACGGGACGACAAACACAGAGGTTACCGTGTCTTCCTTCTCCTGTACCTACTAATCCTGCTACTCCCCACCAAGCGTCAGATTCCTCCTCCCCATCACTCCTCCTCCCCTCCTCCTCCTCCTCCTCATCCTCATCCTCATCCTCCTCCTCCTTACCATCATCATCATCATCATCATCATCATCATCATCATCATCATCATCATCATCATCATCATCATCATCATCATCATCATCATCGTCAGCATGATCATATCCCTCCTCCTCCTTCTGCTCCCTCTTCCTCCTCCTCATCCTTCTCCTCCCTCTTCCTCATCCTCCTCCTCCTCCTCCTCCTACTCTTCCCTCCTCCTCCCTCTCCTTCCGGCCCTCCTTCGCCTTATCCACCAGGAGAGCCGGGCTGCCATCAGCGGGTCGCTCCCTCCCTCGGTCGCTCGCTCGATCGCCGAGGCCGCTGGACAGGACGTCGACCTCCCCTCTTGAGGCACGTCTGCCTTTCAATCACGCCGTGTTGTGAGGTAAGGATCTTGGACCTTCTTGAGGACGCTCCGCCTCCTCCTCTTCCTCCTCCTCCTCCTACATATCCTCCTGCTGCTGCTGCTAACGGCTGATGAAGGTGATCCTGCAACCGCCTTCTCATCCTCCTCCTCCTCTTCTCCTCCTCCCCTCCCGCCCTCCACCTCGAGGAACTCAGCCGATCCTCGTCATCTTCATCTCCCGCTCAATTCTCCCTCTCTCACTCCTTCCAGGCCTCCCTCTCTCCTCCTCCTCCTCCGTCTCCTCTCCATCGCCATGTAACGTTTGCTGGGGTGTCTTCTATCGCTCCTTGTTTTTCCCTCGTGCAGGCTCTGAGTCAGCATCCGCGCTGTTCCAGAATCCGACGGCGACGCTTGCTGGCTCTCGTTTCCCTCCTGCCCCCTCCCCGGCTTCCCTGTTCCCTCGCCAGTCTCGTCGTCTCCCTTCCCGCTCGAGGTCCTCATCCCTGCTCTCCCTCAAACTACCACCGCTGGCGGCCGTGCCGTTGCCGCTGCAGTCCTGGGGGGGGGGGGCCTGCTTCTCCTGCTGCCCGTTGCCGTTCTCCTTGCTCGCGTGGGGATGCGGTCGAGGGTGTCGCCGCTGGTGCCGCCACCGCGGTGGCCTGAGCGGTCAAGGGGACAGCAGGAGGAGGAGGAGGAGGAGGAGGCGGGGGAGGAGGAAGAGGAAGAGGAGGAGGAGAGAGAGAAGAAGGAGGGGGAGAAGGAGGAGGAGGAGGAGGAGGAGCGGTAGCAATTGTCCAGCGACTGCCGCGTGTTGTCTTGCCGCTCGATCATGTCACTGTTGTCGCTGCCCGTGTGCAGCCTGTTGAGGCTGAGAGAAGACAGTCGCTCAACTCCAAGACGCAGGTCGCTGGGGCTCAGATGAACTCCATGGTGGCTCCGTCGATCTGTGTCGCAGTTGCTAGTCATGTGCATGGAAGCGCGGAAGGAACCCAGGGCCCTGCCATCCCTCTGTCGGAGGTGAGGGGGTGAGATCGAAGTGGAACGGAGAGCCCCCCTACCGCGAAATCGATTTCGGTTTCGTGTTCGTGCGTGCCGCGCGTGCGGGCGAGGCGAAGCTGCGTGGGCGGGCGAGAAAAAGTCTGCTGTGGCTGAGGCGCGGCCGGACCACAAGAACCTTGACCGGGCGGCCGGTGCCCCGCGGTGTCCCGCCAGTGTCCCGCGGTGTCCCGCGGTGTCCCGCGGTGCCCCGCGGTGTCCCGCCGGTGTCCCGCGGTGTCCCTGCGATGATGATGATGATGATGATGATGATGATGAGATGAGATGAGATGAGATGAGATGAGATGAGATGAGATGAGATGAGATGATGATGATGATGATGATGATGATGATGATGGTTATGATGATGATGGTGGTGACGCTGATGATGATGATGCTGCTGATGATGATGACGATGATGATGATGATGGTGATGCTGATGATGATGATGCTGACGATGATGATGAGGACGATGATGATGATGATATGATGATGATGATGCTGATGGTGTCCCGATGATGAGGATGCTGATGGTCATGATGATTACGTTGATGATCATGATGATGACGATGATGGTGTCACGATGATGATGAGTATGATGATGTTGATGTTGATGATGATGATTATGATTGTGTCCCGATGATGATGATGATGTTGATGATGATGAGGTTGATGATGATTATGGCGTCCCGATGATGATGAATATTCTGATGGTGCTGATGATGATGATGATGGCGTCCCGATGGTGATGATGATGATGATGATGCTGATGTTGGTAATGATGATGATGGTGCCCCGATGATGACGATGATGATGATGATGATGTTGATGATGCTGATGATAATGATGCCGATGATGATGATGCGATGATGATGAAGGTGTCCCGATGATGATGATGATGGTGATGATGATAACGATGGTGATCATGATGGTGTCCCGATGATGATGCTGCTGATGATGATGATGACGATGACTGTGTCCCGATGCTGCTGATGATGATGATGATGTTGATGATGATTGTGATGATTGTGATGATGGTGATGGTGGTGTCCCGATGATGTTGATGACCGTGATGATGATGTTGG